CTGCGATAGCCTTAGAGGGCGGAGCTTACACGAAATAGAACTGTCTGCGATACTGTGGTCACTTTCCATGTAGCATCAATTATGCTAATGCTAGCTGCCTGTCACGTTCTCTCGACCTGGCCACACCTCCGCTCTCTAACCCCCCTTCCTCCACCCACACCCCCTCCCCTACCCACTTTGATGCATTTTTCAAATTTCGCCTTGGGGCGGAGTTATCTTTTCACAGGGGGGGTAAGTTACACTTTAAGAATCTCATCATGGATGTGTTGATCAGTGGACCCGTTCCTACAGCAAAAGGAGGGGACGTGCAGCAGCAGCGATTGAACTGGGGTTCCACAGGAGCTTTCCAGAAGGAGCTGGCAGACCCATCAGGACTGTGTCAGTCCAGTCCACCCAAAGCAGAGTCATGACCAATGGAATCGTCTCATCCATCTGATTCTAAAGGCTGAGTTATGGTCGCGCTCTGGAGCACGCACCCTCGCCGGCAGTGGAGGTGTTTCATACTTGGCGTTTACGTTGATGTAGATTTCTCCAAAATGACACGTGGAAGTACACTTTACAACTTGTGAAAATGCTGTAAGTAGGAGAGCAAAAGCTTGACAGACAGACAGACTGCACACAAAGGCTGCGGTGCTCACAGTGTTTGTGGAGACTCTCCAACATCACGTCACGTCATGTGAACTCTACTGAGACGCAGAGACTCGTTTCTTCATATCAGCTATGAAATAAGCAAAGATCTATGTTCTACAAACATTTAAGTTCCTCTGTATTTACAGTAATTATGGTAATAAACTCGTGCGCAAAGTTAATATTTTCAGACTCAGAATGGATGGATGAGCCGGTTGCAAAATACAGCAGCGTGCACACACACACCGACACACAATCGCTCGTTCTTTGTGTGATAAACATATTTTATTCCTTTTTTTACTCAGGATTTTTTTATCACTCACATTATATTTAATTCATTATTTAATGACATAAGAAATCATTTCTGATCGCGCAGGGATCACTCAAACATGTCCTTCACACATGCACATATGCATCTGTTTAACATATGTTAATGAAGGCGTGTCAGGGGAGGTAAGACACCTCCCCTGACACGCCTTCATGTTAATGAAGGTGTGTCAGGGGAGGTGTCTCACCTGCGCTCAGTTCCACGTTAATTGTGATGTACAAAAGAAATGCGCGTGGATTCAGGCGTACGCACAGTTTGATACATCTGGATTTTTTTGTGCGTACGCCGTTTTCTAGATTTGACCGTACGTCAGGTTTCAGTAAGAAATCCACGTAAGTCTTTGTACATGAGGCCTCTGGAGAGTGATCAGCTGACGTCTGAGGCTGAAGTACAATGGTAGCAAACTGAGACACCGATGGAACACGATGTACAAGTGGCTGATAAGGAGACTGCTGCAGAATCAGAACCACAGAGAGAGGAGTTACTTCAAGCTGCAGAACTGGAAGAACATCTGGATTCATCAACATTGCAACCAGAGGAACCAGAAAATGGGTTCCCCCAACCTACAACTGGAGAAAAACTGATCATTTCTTCTTCTCCACCAGAGAAACCCAAACCATCAACTAAGAAGGAGAAGGTACACACTACACCCAAGATGGGGCGGCTGTGGCGGAGTGGTTAGGGGAGTCGTCCTGGAACCAGAAGGTCACTGGTTCGATCCCCCGTCCAGCCGTCTCAGTCGTTGTGTCCTTGGGCAAGACACTTCACCCACCTTGCCTACTGATGGTGGTCAGAGGGTCCGGTGGCGCCGATGCATGGCAGCCCCACCTCTGTCAGTGCGCCCCAGGGCAGCTGTGGCTACAGTGTAGTTTGCCATCATCAGTGTGTGAATGTGAGTGTGAATGGGTGAATGTCTGTTAGTGTAAAGCGCTTTGGGGGTCCGGAGGGACTTGAAAAGCGCTCTATAAGTTCAGTACCATTCACCATTCACCATTCAAGAAAAGAAAGTACTGGTATGGACACTTCATTGAGGACCCTGTGGAACAAGCAGAGCATCGTTTGGAGTTACGCACAAAGCTACAGTGTTATTTGGCATGGTATAAAGGAAGTGGGACGGAAAAGCTATTTTAAGGGTGAAAAGAGAGAATTATGAGCGAATGCTCTGATGAACAGAATCCGTGACAATGGGTAGCCCTGGCGGAGTCCAACTCCCAGTCTGAAGGGGTCCGACTTACTACTGGCAATGCGAACCAAACTCTCGCACCGCTTGTATAGAGACTGAATGTCCCCTAACAACAGACCCACACTCTCGTAGCACCCCCCACAGTGTACCTTGAGGAACACAGTTGAATGCCGTCTCCAAGTCCACAAAATACATGTAGATTAGGAAACTCCCATGACCCCTTGAGAACCCTAGTGGGGGTAAAGAGTTGGTCCAATGTTCCCTGGCCAGGACAGAACCCGCATTGTTCCTCCAGAATCTGAGGTTCAACTATCGATCGGACTCTCTTCTCTAGCACCCCTGAAAAGACCTTACCAGAGAGGCTAACGAGAGTGATGCCCCGGTAACTGGAGCACACCCTGCAGTCCCCCCTTTGTAAAGAGGGGAACCACTACCCCAGTCTGCCAATCCAGTGGCACTGCCCCCGATGTCCACACGATGTTGCAAAGGTATGTCAACCTGGACAGCCACAACATCCAGAGTCTTGAATCAGGGCGGATCTCATCAACCCCTGGAGCCCTGCCGCCGTTGAGCTTTTTAACTACCTCAGCGACCTCAACTTCAGTTATGGACAGACCAGCCCCAAAGTCCTCAGACTCTGCTTCCTCCATAGGAGAGGTGCCGGTAGGATTCAGAAGGTCAAGAATTATTCTTTCCACCTCTCAACGACATCACTGGTTGAGGTCAACATCACCCCACCTTCACTGAGCACAGTGTTAGTGAAGTGCTGCTTCCCCTGCCTCTGCCACCAGATGGTTTGCCAGAATCTCCTCAAAGCCGATCGAGAGTCTTTGTCCAAGGCCTCACTGAACTCCTCCCACATCCAAGCTTTTGCCTCAGCAATGGCCAGGGCCACGGTTTCAGATGAATCTCCTGAAAAATAAGCACCGCAAACCTACAGTCTGGACATGTGGGATTATTGTTCCCAGTTTTACAAACACGCAGTGGTTACAGAACTTAAAGACGTTGGATAATAAAGATGTTTTAAAATGACTTGACTTTTGTTATTTACAGATAATGCAATATGACAAGGTACTGTCAGTACAGAAATGTAGCTTCAAGCAGCTGTAGATCTAAAAATATTACGTTAAACTTTGGTCTTAAATCACAAGTTTTTTTGCAGAATTCCCAACACGCATATATTTTGTCCCCATGAATCTTTACAAGATGTAATATAATTTCAGTGGCATGACTTTGGTAAGTACAATTATGAACTATTAAGCTAGAGGCATGGAATGGTGCAGAGCTGAGCCGAACCGTGCTGTTGAGGCACTAGTGGAAAAGGGGCATTTTGGCTCTGCTCTGTAGCCCAATTTAGTAGATTGAAATCATATTTTCTTCATTACAGTTGTGAATAATTTAAATCAAAATCTTAAATAAAACATTGTATGAAGGCAAAATATGCAAAATACACATTTTGGGGATTTTTCTCATCATTTGACCTTTAATGATAAGCATTGCTATTGGCTACACTCTCACTGGGTACTCCCTGTAGACCCATCAACAGCAGAGGCAGAAGCCCTCACCATCAACAAGCCCCAAGGCACTAAACCCTCCGGTTGTTTAGAGCCTGATAGGCATCAGGTCACCAAGCTGACTGAGTTAGAGTTTTTGTGTTGGATAACGTTGAATGCATTTTGAATGAAACTGGCTCCAATCAGTTACATCAAAAGATAACTCAGTTTCATTCAAATCAGTCTAGTTGTTTGTGAGATATTCTGCTAACAGACCTGGGCATGTTAATACTTCTGAAGACAATAACATTGCTCAAAGTCACACCTCACTGTTGTGTCCTCTCAGGTTAAAGTTGATTCTCTGCGGTGTACTTCTGTCCCTCCTGCAGTGACTGGACGTAAATGTCACCCCAACAACTCCTCTGGCGTTCCCCGTGGCGAGCCAGCCTTCCTCATAGTACCGTCTTCGGCACACAGGCTTGTCCTTCTCGCTCTTCGGGACCCGGCCTTTCCATGAAAGGCAGAGGATGTTGGAGTCACTGCAGAGGATGGGACCATGTTCCACGGCGGCCAACATCCCTACTGACTGAGCAGGCTGTTGAAAGAAAGAGAGCCGCAACATCACCTTCAACAAATGTCATCCCACGTACATTTTCAGTTCATTTCAGTACATTCAGTTTGTGTTCCGTGTGGCTCTACATGAACACTACACTACGCTACATTACTCTGCATTTATTTTACATTTAATCTATGTTTACTCTACATTTACTTTACATTTACTCTAAATTTATTTTACATGTTCTCTACATTTACTCTACTGTACTTGTCATTACTCCACATTACTCTACATTTACTCAACAGTACTCTAAATTATTTTACATTTATTTTACATCTACTCTACATTATTCTACATTATCTACATCAGGGGTTCTTAACCTTTTTGACCTCGGAGCCCAATTTGTTCGACATAAAGTGACACTAGGCCCAGTCACACATTACCATACGGATCAAAATGGTAGTTATTCTAAATCTTGGTTTAAAACTATAATTATTCTAAATCTTGGTTTAGTTTATATTGTATTTGCATTCTAACTAAATAAAATACACTTACAGTTTAAAAGTAAAACTCTTGTCAAATATTTACAAGACATGATTAATGACAAACATTTGTTTATATTGTAACCTGCCCATAACAATTATTTGAACAAATACAACAGTCAGTCAACAGACCACTCAGGCTTATCAGCACAAAATTTTTTTTTAACATAAACAACAACAAATAGACAATTCAATAAATAAAATTGTGATTATAAAATAAATACATTCAAAAATATTTTATGTAAATGTTTCAAATAAAACAAACTGTAAAAATAAATTTGATAAAGTGCAAATGAAAATAAAGCCTTTTTAAATTTTTGCATGGTAGAACTAGAAGCTGCTGTTCATATTAGTGACCAACAATAACAGTAACAACAGCTTTTTGACAAAATGTTTAAAAATAAACTGCAAAAATAAATTAGATAAAGTGCAAATTAAAATATAGTATATATAGTATACATCTGCAACTGTATTTGATAATGTTTTGAACTTTGAAAATTTTGCATGGTAAAACCAGAGGCTGCTCTTCATATTAGTGACAAACTTTGGCATTTTTTGATGAATTATCTTCATTTTTGCTTCTACTTTTAATTTAAAACAGGTTTCCATTCTCAGCAGGTTTCTAGGTTCTTCTTCTACGTATTAAAAAAAGTTGTTAAACATCTGAGTGACGCACTACTGCTACTAGTGGTGAGAAAGTGTATTGCATCTTGTTCAAAATCAATGCAGTCCTGCGGCCCTCTGCGGCCCAAAGTTAAAAACTGTTGTTCTTTTGAGGCCCTCAAGGTGGCGATCATGGCCCACAATTGGGCCGCGGCCCATAGGTTAAGAATCTCTGATATACACTACTCTACGTTTACTTTACATTTACTCTATTTTACTTGACATTACTCTACACTTACTCCAATAACTAAGCCAGGTTTATTTGGGTGAATTAGCTGCGGTGGTCATCTTGAATTGGGCTAACTCAAAACCTTAAATGGACAGTGCAATCATTAAATTATGTTAGTGAAATATCAGTTATCAACTATAAAAACAGTCATAGGACACAACAGATGGAGAAATGTGCAAAAATCTTCATTGAGGCATCGAGGAATTGAGCTGCTCAAAGTGGCGGCATGTTGGAGTAGCTCTGTTACAATCATTATGATATATTTTTTAATTTTTTTCATTGCTCTTTTTCTGACTCCCTGTTATGATACTTAACTATAGAAACATGATGGTGTGTTGCTGATTCACATCTCAAAAGCTCAAATAAGACTACAACTACAACTACAACTACAGCACCAAATCCCAGATGAGTTGAAAAGATGAGTTGAAAAGGCTCTTCACGTCTCTCCTCGTCATCTTCTTGCTTTGGGGCACCACAAATGACCCAAATAGTGCTATATTATAACGTTTAGTTACAAATTGAGTAATCCATGACAAGCATACGTTTGAACAAATAATTTTAACCAGTTCCGAATTGGACCTGAGTGCACTCCCTCATCCCTGCTCATCCCCGTCGCTCTGGGCTCTGTGTGCGGGTCGAACTTTTCACCCCACTCCACATAAGAACACAGACGAACTATATGGTGTGATTGGTCAGAAGTTTGTAGGAGTGTTTGTTTGTGCTAAAAGCGCTCAGTTTGCTTCAACCACTCGCTTAAAAAAAAGAGAGAGAAAAAAGTGACTCGTCCGAATGCTGACTACCAGGAAGCAGAGATTATAAAGATAGTCAAACGGCCAAAACCTCATAAAAGGGGATAAAATAGACTATTTTCACGGTGAAATCTGACTGATAAAAACTTTTGAGCTTAATCCTGGACCAGTTTGTGGTATAAATAACGTCGAGTGACGAGCGTTGGACTTATTTTTCCTGCATTGGATTCCCTCCGGGTAGAAATCCCCTGTAGTGACGTATGCAGCAGCGGGGGGAGGGGTTCCAAGGAGCTCGGTGCGGGGGTCTCAGGAACTATGAAAGCTGTGTGCGAGCACAAACGCCGAATAACCACAGAATTTACAAGTGACTTTAGAAAAAAAGAAGCCGTTGCTTATAATAAGCGGACCTGCTTGCTTTTTTTTAAACAACCTAACTGTGCATGCCTTATTAGCCGATTGAATCATCTATCGGCGATAGTGACCATGATTTATGATCCGAAAATAGGGACGATTTCCCATCCCTGCTCCATGCTCTAACAAGAACCCAGCCAGAGTATCCGGAATGCAGTATTATGTGTTTCACTGAGACATGGCTGCAGGATTATATCCCTGACATCTCCCTGTCAGGCTTTCTGACCATACAATGGACAATCCTGAGCATCCTCTTCATCAGAATGTCACACTACAAAACTGGAAAAATAGTCCTGAAAGCGAGCTGTGAGCCTCTACTCTGAATTATCTGGTGAATTAA